GTCTAACGCGGTTACAGAAGAAATATATTACAAGACAATAAATCAACCACATGAAACAAGAAAAGTAAAGCAGGAAGGGTTATTAATAAAAATCTTCATTTGTTTATTTGTGGTGCTCGACTCGCAATATTAAAAAGAATATCCGTCCTATCAACCATGCTCGCTCTTTCAGCCATGGAGGCGTTATAATGTGACGGTCAATCCCACTATTCGTTGGTTAAAAGCGAAGGTACCCAACTGATACGTCGATGCATCCTAATCTTTATATGTTTTAGTCTTATGACTTCATAGTCCTAGTGATAACAATATATTAAAGTAGCTATATTCATCACTGGGCTAAGTTTTAGATCTGTGCGGATAGTTTGCTTTAATCAACAGTTAATGATAAATATATTCGATATTTAGTTGAATCGTGCCTTTCAACATGTGAGATAAATCAACATCAGTTGTACTGTCTGATGTAACGTAATGTTGCGTCAGCGAGGTCACGTGACTAGTATCACGCCACTTCCTTCTCGAACCTTCGTGAATTGTCGGGAGATTGCTGGATTGGGGGTAGACTGGTATATATAAGATAGTCACAACGTGGCGGGACAATGTGTAGGTAATGAGTAATTGAACTGAGTATTATTGAAGTTGAGCACGTGAGAAGTTCTTTGTTATAGCGCGACTGTTGAAATTAAGTGTATCGCAAAGTTATATTCAGAAAGAATAAACCAATTTTATTTAAGAAAGGACTTGTGTCGCTAAAGTTTCATTGGAACGACGTTACGGAAAATTAATTAACGACTAGAGGCGTAACAGTAACTTTTTCTTTTGAACTCACTTTATGAAACATTGCTATATGTAAATTTATATATGTTTCAATACTTTAGGCTAAATTTATTAAAATTGTTTGTTTTTGTAAGATTTTCTGTCAAATTAGAGCGCAAAAACTATTTTTTTTAATTCACTCTTAACGTACGGCCGGTAGTTCAGTGTTAATCTTGTAGGCTAATAACGTTAAATTTCAACGTTTGCTTCTTACAGTGAGGACAACAAAGATGGCTCACCAAGCAGTTTTTGCTTAAGAACAAAAACTCTCGTATGAAATTGATTATGGCGCACCTAACTATATTATTTACTACAGGATGGTGGATTGGAAGTTTGTTTCGCACATATACATCTATTTCAATGCAAAGTGGCCCGGCATGGCCAGGTGGATAAGGCGCTCGACTCACAATCTGCGGGTCGCGGGTTCGAATCCGCATCCCACCAAACATGCTCGCCCTTTCAGCCGTGGGGGCGTTATAATGTGACGGTCAATCCCACTATTCGTTGGTAAAAGAGTAGCCCAAGAGTTGGCGGT